ATGGAAAGGATGGCCTTCCAGCTGGTGCTGGTGTTGGTGTTGCTGGTGTAGCTGGTACAGGAGGATTTGGGTCTCCCTATGGAAAGGATGGTCTTCCAGCTGGGGGTGGTGTTGGTGGGGCTGGTGTAGCTGGTGCAGGAGAAGTTGGGTCTCCCTATGGAAAGGACGGTCTTCCAGCCAGGGCTGGTGTTGGTGGTGCTGGTGTAGCTGGTGTAGGGCAAGTTGGGTCTCCCTATGGAAAGGACGGTCTTCCAGCCAGGGCTGGTGTTGGTGGTGCTGGTGTAGCTGGTGTAGGGCAAGTTGGGTCTCCCTATGGAAAGGACGGTCTTCCAGCCAGGGCTGGTGTTGGTGGTGCTGGTGTAGCTGGTGTAGGGCAAGTTGGGTCTCCCTATGGAAAGGACGGTCTTCCAGCCAGGGCTGGTGTTGGTGGTGCTGGTGTAGCTGGTGTAGGGCAAGTTGGGTCTCCCTATGGAAAGGACGGTCTTCCAGCCAGGGCTGGTGTTGGTGGTGCTGGTGTAGCTGGTGTAGGGCAAGTTGGGTCTCCCTATGGAAAGGACGGTCTTCCAGCCAGGGCTGGTGTTGGTGGTGCTGGTGTAGCTGGTGTAGGGCAAGTTGGGTCTCCCTATGGAAAGGACGGTCTTCCAGCCAGGGCTGGTGTTGGTGGTGCTGGTGTAGCTGGTGTAGGGCAAGTTGGGTCTCCCTATGGAAAGGACGGTCTTCCAGCCAGGGCTGGTGTTGGTGGTGCTGGTGTAGCTGGTGTAGGGCAAGTTGGGTCTCCCTATGGAAAGGACGGTCTTCCAGCCAGGGCTGGTGTTGGTGGTGCTGGTGTAGCTGGTGTAGGGCAAGTTGGGTCTCCCTATGGAAAGGACGGTCTTCCAGCCAGGGCTGGTGTTGGTGGTGCTGGTGTAGCTGGTGTAGGGCAAGTTGGGTCTCCCTATGGAAAGGACGGTCTTCCAGCCAGGGCTGGTGTTGGTGGTGCTGGTGTAGCTGGTGTAGGGCAAGTTGGGTCTCCCTATGGAAAGGACGGTCTTCCAGCCAGGGCTGGTGTTGGTGGTGCTGGTGTAGCTGGTGTAGGGCAAGTTGGGTCTCCCTATGGAAAGGACGGTCTTCCAGCCAGGGCTGGTGTTGGTGGTGCTGGTGTAGCTGGTGTAGGGCAAGTTGGGTCTCCCTATGGAAAGGACGGTCTTCCAGCCAGGGCTGGTGTTGGTGGTGCTGGTGTAGCTGGTGTAGGGCAAGTTGGGTCTCCCTATGGAAAGGACGGTCTTCCAGCTGGGGCTGGTGTTGGTGGTTCTGGTGTAGCTGGTGTAGGGCAAGTTGGGTCTCCCTATGGAAAGGACGGTCTTCCAGCCGGGGCTGGTGTTGGTGGTGCTGATGCAGGAGGACTTCTGTCTCTCTATGGAAAGGATGGTCTACCGGCTGGTGCTGGTATAGCTGGTGCAAGGGGAGTTGGGTATCTGCATGGAACGGATGGTATTCCATCTGGAGCAGGGGTTCGTGTTCCAGGGGGGTTTGGATCTCCACATGGAAAGGATGGTCTCCCAGCTGGGGCTGGTATTGATGGTGTTGGTGGCGCTGATGCAGGAGGAATTGGGTCTCCCTATGGAAAGGATGGTGTCCCAGACGGAGCAAGCTTTGGTGGTGCTGTTGCAGGGGTTGTTGGGTCTCTGTCTCAAAAGGAGGGTGTTCCAGCTGGACCACATATTCCTGGTGTTGGTGGTGCTGGTTTTGGAGGTGTTGGATCTCCTTATGCAATGGATGGTCTCCCAGCTGGAGCAGGCTGTGGCGGTGCTGGTGCAGGGGGAATTGGGTCTCCCTATGGAAAGGATGGTCTCCCAGCTGGCATAGGCATTGATGGTGCTCACGCAGGAGGAGTTGGGTCTCCCTATGGAAAGGATGGTCTCCCAGCTGGCGCAGGCTTTGGTGGTGCTGGTGCAGGGGGAATTGGGTCTCCCTATGGAAAGGATGGTCTCCCAGCTGGAGCAGGCTTTGATGGTGCTAGTGGTGCTGGTGTAGGGGGAGATGGATCCCCATATGGAAAGGATGGTCTCCCAGCTGGTGTGGGCATTGGTGCTGGTGTAGCAGGTGCAGAGGGATTCGGATCTCCCTATGGAAAGGACAGTGTCCTGACTGGGGCTGGTCTTGGTGGTGCTGCTGCAAGGGGAGTTGGATCCCCCCATGGAAAGGATGGTCTTCCAGCCGGAGCTGGTCCTGGTGGTGCTGGTATAGGGGGAGCTGGATCTCCCTATGGAAGGGACAGTCTCCCAGCAGGAGCTGGTGTTGGTGGTGCTGGTGTAGGGGCAGTTGGATCTCCCCATGGAAAGGATTGTTTTCCAGCTGGGGCTGGTCTTGGGGGTGCTGGGACACTCCGTACAGGGGGAGCTGGGTCTCGCTATGGAAGGAACGGTGTTCCAGCTGGTGCTGGCGTAGCTGGTGCTGGCATAGCTGGTGCAGCGCAAATTGAGTCTCCATATGGAAGGGATGGTCTCCCAGCTGGGGCTGGTGTTGGTGGTGCTGGTGTCACTGATGAAGGGGGAGTTTGGTCTCCCTATGGAAAGGATGGTCTCCCAGCTGGCATAGGCATTGATGGTGCTCACGCAGGAGGAGTTGGGTCTCCCTATGGAAAGGATGGTCTCCTGGCTGGGGCTGGTGTAGGCAATGCAGGATCTCCCTATGGAAAGGATAGTCTCCTATCTGGGGCTGGGGCTGGTGTAACTGGTGCAAGGGGTGTTGGATCTCTCTATGGTAAGGATGGTCTCCCAGCTGGGGCTGGTCTTGGAGGTGCTGGTGTAGTTGGTGCAGGGGGACTTGGGTCGCCCTCTGGAAGGGATGGTTTCCCAGCTGGCATGAGTGTTGATGGTGCTCATGTAGGTGGAGTTGGGTCTCCCTATGGAAAGGATGGTCTCCCAGCTGGGGCTGGTGTAACTGGTGCAAGGGGTGTTGGATCTCGCTATGGAAAGGATGGTCTCCAGTCTGGGTCTGTGGCAGGAGTTGCTCCATTTCCTTTTGGAGGTGAAGAAGCAAGAGGATCTCGCCATGGCAGGGATGCTATGCTGAACAGAGCTCAAGGATATATAGGTGGAGCAGGAGGAGATGGCTCATTCTCAGAAGGCAGTGGTGTCGGTGGCTCTGCATTACGGGGTGCTGGGTCTCCCTGTGACAGGGGCAGTGGGTCAGCTGGAGCCAGGGCTGGTGTGGCTGGTGTTGGCAGGTTGGGAGGTGGTGAAAGGGAGTTACATTCAGCCCGTGGTAAAGAAGGTGTGGTAGGTGCTGTTGGACGAGGTAGTGACTATGGACTGGACTTGCATCCTGGCAAATCTTCTAAGGGAGGTGAAACTGGTAAGGGCACTGGCAGTGATTTCAGAGGATCAGAGCACAAAGGTTCATCTCCTGACAGAGATTCAGTTTCAGGTCAAGCTGATGCCAGGGGTGAGGGCAGAGATTTAGGACACTTAGGCTCCCTTTATGGCAAAAATTCAGCCTTTGGAGGGGCAGGGAGTAAATCCCATAACAGATCCATTGATGGGAGGAATTCAGGCAGTTTAGGTCAAGGTTCATTGGGTTATGGTCAGATGTCAGGTCTTTATGGTGGACCTCCTTCAATAAACCAGCGAAAACAGGAACGCAGCCTTGATATTAAAGCAAATGATTTCTTGAAGAATACGGAAAGTCTGGGAAAAAGAAGACGTTATTGCCTAGATGATCTGAAAGGTATGTGTTTAGCTGATGACTTCTGTACTGCTGGTCTTTGCATTTTGATACTCACATTCCTGTTCCTGGAGAGAAAGTGAATTTATGGTTTAGACAAATCGTAGAATGTAGCTATACCTAGAAATTTGGTTATACTGCGATCTGTTCTTAATTCTACCACTGATTTGCTGTTTGACCTTACACCATTTGCTCAAACTGCCTTAAAAGTCAGAATGATCTTTGTCTGAATTATCTAAAGCAGGTGTCATCTGTTCACTCGAATAAATGATTTGGTACCACATGGACCAGACTTCCATTCACAAACATACCAGTTCCCATATAGTTTCAAGGAGTACGGCCATGTTTCTTTGATACTATTCCAGTTTAAAACTTCCTGTTTCACTTTATTTGTTCCAACATCCAGTGCAAAGATCTGTGTTTTTCCAAGTTCTGGGAACAAATCTGTGCCAGCTTATATTGGATTAGTATGCACTCTTGGCCTAATGCAAAGAGCTCTTTTCTCTTGTAACATCAGAAATAATGAGGTGTTGCATAGAGTAAAAGAAGCGTAATGTGTATGCAGCCATTTGACTAAGACCAGTGGGTACACGAGCAAGATGATAATGTGAAAAGCGTAGAAATGATAAAGTTCGTATGTATAACCGGAGGGGAACATTCACCTAAAGGAATTGCTGACAAGTTAGACATAATAAAGACAAACAAAACATAAATATAAAGAAGGAAGTAAAATCAACAGAATTGGATTTAATGGAGAATGAGGTGAGGTCTATTAGAAAGGGGACGAGGATATTAATGGAGAAGAACTTGGGAAGGCAAAGAGGAATACAGGGGGTAGAGAATAGTGTGACTTGGGGTGGTTTAGGGGGAAAGTGGTTGGGCAGCCCTCTGTCTGGTCGGTGCAGAGGAAAAGAATGATGTAGTAGCATACCCATACCCTGGAGTAGCCAATTTTTTCCCACTGGCTGTAGAGGGAGCCAAGACAATAAGCACAGACTTAAAATAGCAGATCTGTAGATGGATAGTGTGATTTGTGATGAATCCATTGCCCATTAGTTGATGTTAGGACTATATTGCATGCAGGCCACCTGGCACATTCCGTCAGTGCAAGGAGTTTACGCCAGCTGGCCCATGGTGTTGTGGCACAAAAAGCTGTCATGACTACAGTGTATGTTTTTAAAAAAGATCTCTTTTTTTTTTTCTCACGTGCACATCCATTTTCGTCTATACATTTCTCTCTGTCAGTGTAACACAGAGTTAGCGTATTTTCAACATTTTCTTTTCCGAATGTTCAGCACCGCGCTGTCGTGTCAACAAACAGTTACTGGATATCAGGGTCCTGAAAGGGGAACCAGCTGAGCTGTCTTGCACCGTCAGTAAAGATGAGGTGACAGGAACCTGGTTTAAAGATGGATTAAAGGTAGGTGTCCTCTAGCTACTGTTTTCTTCAGTTAGCAATGCTTTGCTCTCTGGCTCTGCCTCTTACATGTCGTGTCGTGTCAAGGTGTCCTTCTCTCTGCCAGACTTACTGCAGTTAGAGTATGGCCCTGGGAAGGATTCTGAGGAGCCTGTTGATAATAAAATTCTTGATAGGAATCCAGGAAGATTTCTTCCCCCTTCCTGCTATAAGACATTTCCATTCTTCCTGACAACAGGCGGCTTTGTGTTTTCCATTCTTTTTCATGGGTGGAGATGGTGTGGGTCTCTTCCTTGCAATGCAATCCTTTTTCTTTTCCTCAGTGAATGTGCAAAATATGCAAAAAATGAGGGGAAAATCTTCAAAGGAGCCTTCAGACAGGCCTAACGCAAAGAGTGCTCTTTCAAATTTGCGCTTAAAGTCAAGCAGAGACATCATATTCTGTGTTCCAAAACAACATTGAAGAGTAATTCCAGTTGTGGAATCCAGGTGATAGAGTAGGAGTTCTGAGGTCTCATACTCAAGCATGAGCCAAAGTTCTTGTTGTTAAGAATAAAAGGACAGAGCTTGGAAATTTTACTAAAACTTCTTTTTATGGACTTTGAATCAAGTCTTTGTGGGGTGTATATTGACAATGCTTACAGGCAACGTCATCAGATGAGTAATCCCAGAATATTACTGTAATTAAACATGCATATCATTCATAAGTCTTTCCAATTGCGTTTCAAATTTTTGTCTGGTCAGTTGAAGTTTGGATTGCCCCGTTTTTCTTTTTGTGCTTTACCTTGTAGTTAACAAACATGGATGGAGTCATTTTTGAAAAGGAAGGTCTAGTCCACAAACTAATTATTAATAAAGTAGAAGATATTCATGCTGGGAAATACAGGTTTCAAGGTGGAGATATAAAAACTGAAGCTTCAATTTTTGTTGAAGGTGAGTCTATTCGAATTACCAATGCAGCATGCTAGCCTTGATGTGCTTGAAATGTAATATGTTTTCTCAGAGACCTATAGCTGATTGAGACAACTTCATTATAAGGAATCACCATGTAAATTTGGGATAGTTTTTGTACACATTGCTGCATTTTGTATTTACAAATTTAACTAAGGAGGCTTCCTGAATAGCTTCTATTATTAACTCCAGGATTTTGGGGTGCACATAACACTTTATCAGACCAGATTCTTCATTCTTGTGTTTAGTGTATTGCCTATGAGAAATTTGCTTCAGTGAAAAGGACAGTATGATACCACAAATACTTTGTGATAATTATCCTGTAACAAAGTATATGTATGTATGTGAACCACAATAATACAGCTAAAGGTGAAGGTCCAAATGTAGTGAGCTGCTAAGCATTATTGGCAGCATCAAGAGGGAAGCCCTCCCCTCCAAGGTGAGTCTTATCCTCTTGAAATTGCAGTTTTTAATGACCTTGTATCATCTGTTTAGATCCTCCACAGGTTGACAAAGTTCTCCTCAAAAACTTAACAAGTGTTCCTACTGTGGCCAAGGCAGGGCAGAATGTAAAGATCAAGATCCCTTTTGAGGGCCGGCTGCCAGTCAGAACAATGTGGCTAAAGGACAGAATGGAGCTGGTAGATGACACAAGGATTCGTGTTGATAAAACGGAGACCTTTACCATGCTGTCCATCTCCAGCAGTGAGAGAAAGGATTGTGGGGATTACAAAGTCAGGCTGAAGAATGACAGTGGGGTCCTGGAGATCAACTTAAAGCTTGTGGTAGTAGGTAAGAGCCCCGTAACATCCCCTATGGCTTTCATTGCAAAGCTGAGGTGGGGAGCCCATTACACTGGCGACAATCTTATTTAGAGCCGCTGGGCATCCCAAGATGAACAAGACTATGTAATTTTCCATTAAATCAGGGGAAAGCAAAGATTGTTGACATGTTTCTTGCCCTTTAATACAAGGTGACACAAATCTAGTTTGGTTTTGCATGGCCTCAGCAGCTGAGTTTGGAATGTTGAGCAACTCTAGGGGATGGGACTATGTGCAACAGGCAAATCTAAAATAGATTATCAAGGCCAAATTCAGCTTTACCATAAGTGTCTGTGGTCTTTTGGAAGACCAGAAAGGGTGTTCTTCCTTATAAGTGAGCTGAATTTGTGCAGTGTTTATGAGAACAATTGGCCTATGGAGCAAGGCCTTGGCTTCCCTCGCGCCATCAGAAGTTAGAAGAGTGGAAGCTTTGAAGAGGCAATTGAAATGCCCACCCTCATTCTGCAGCTATGCATGTATTCTGCCAGGAACTGAGTCTTGTGGCTGGTGAGCAAGAAACAGTGTCTGATCCAAACCCAGAAGCACGTCTGGTTTGGAGCCAACTCAGAATGTCTCTGTGTTCATCTTTTCAGACAAGCCACAGCCACCTGCAGGACCCATCAAAATAGTAGAAAGCTCTGCAAATGACATCACCATTCAGTGGAAGCCCCCAAAGGATGATGGGGGCAAACCAGTGCAAAGCTACATCGTTGAGAGACAGCAGGTAGGCAAGAACGACTGGGTGGCTTTGGGAGAAACCCCCAGGAGCTGTACTACCTTCACTACTAACAAAGTGGAAGAAGACATGAGCTACTACTTCAGGGTGAGAGCTGTGAAGGCCGAGGGAACCAGCGACGCACTGGAATCGGATGAAGTGAAGGCTGTCAGTAAAGGTAAGGAAGAACTTTTCGTAATTGTATTCAACAACCATCTGGGAAAATTCATTATCAAAGCTGACATCAAAGAAAACTCGCTGTGTTTTAGATGTTGTTACAGATCTAAACTTGAGTCATGGCTGTGAAGTCTTAACACAGATCTGTGGAGATTGCACTCTGAGACTAGAAGTTTGTTGTAGGCTTCAGTGATGCTGAGCGTGATGGTGTTACATTCTCAGTTATGCTCCATTCTGAATTGGAAAGCAAGTTTCATGGGGGAAATGCAACATGCATCAAGATCAGAGAAAACTTTTCCCGGGGTGGCTACAAAGGGAACATGTGAGGCCTTTTAACTCCATAGGCAAAGGAGTATCTCTGTATGTGCAGCATTTTTCAGTATGAACACTTCATTACCCTGATTTCCAAACAACTAATTCTGTTTTTGTCCTTCAGTGAGTTTAAATACTAGAACAGTTTTGCCATGAGCATGACTGCAGTACTAGAGAGAAAGCAATGCTCTATTCTATTTCTAATGTGCTTCTTTCTGTGTTCTCCTTCTTGTGATTAAGAGAAGCCTTGTATGTTGAGTGCAGAGGGATAAGAAAATCCGTTCCATCTCCCGTTTCTGTCATTAAAAGCAAGAATAATGCTGACTTTTCCTACCATGTAAGAATGAACATGTCTCACTCCGTAGACTGACAGTGGAATTGTCGTGAAGACAGCAGGTCATTCACAAAATCAAAATCCAGGAACAGAGGTCCATGCTGGATCTTGTTTGTGCGGGGAATAGGTTACACAGCTTCAGGTTTCAGGTTTTGTAAACGCATACCTTGGGGAAACTGGAAGAAGAAATGACATGGAACACTTTCTATCTTGCAATAAAAATATACCTGCTAATAATGAAACACTAATCTCTTTCTAGCTTCACCTGGTGCCCCAGATCCCCCTGAGATTGTCAGTGCCAGCAGAGACACCATCACAATATCCTGGAGAGCGCCTCGTAAAACTGGCAGTTCCCGAATTGTGGGATACTTAGTTCAAAAACGCAAGAAGGGTACCATGACCTGGCTGCCAGTCAACAATGTGCCTGTAGCAGGTAGGTAGCTTAAATCCATCGATAGACTGGAGGACTTGAAACAGACGGAAAGCTCCTCTGGGTTCTAGAGGTAACACATTTATCTTTGTGGAGTTGCTGCCTTCTAACTCCTTGCTTTTTGCTTAGAATCTTACACCTTTTCACATCAAGGTTTTTCCTCCTGAATTCTTGAGCTGCTGACTGTCTCCATCACGACTGTATTACACCTGCCTGAAGTTTTACTGTTTCTTATCTTTCGTAGCTCTAGTGTACACGTTTTTTCACAGGTAAGGTGTTTTCAAGAGTAAGGTTACACAGTTGTGCCATAGCAAAGCCAGGCCTCAGTTTTATATACAGCTGAATGCCTGGGGGGAGGATTATGGGTTTTTTCTAGGCAATGTGCAAACATATGGCTGGAGAAGAGTGCAGAGAAGCTCACTGCTGCATCCTGGGACATTTTCTCCTCTATAGACAAACTGATGTCTTCAATATCTGGAACTAAAATCTTTGTTTCACATGCAGAACTACTGCCCTTAGTCCTCATGCTAAGAACTAGGCAAACAAGAATTTATAAATGCAAGGAAGATTAAGAAACCCAAGTGATGTATATGAGCTCCAAAACGTGTTTTGACTATAGCTGTGAATTATCTATCAGTTGCAAGCTAGGACTTCTTATCTGGTATAGAAGAGTTTAGGATTATCCTGTCAGGAAAGCAGTATTTATCTAACTTAATAGCTCTCAAATACTGTTTGATTTGAAAGGGAGTACAATGAACACATCCCAGAAGTACACATGCAATAGGATAGGGAAGGGCAGGGGAATTGGCAACAGCTGCTGAGAATTGTTCAGTCCACAGTTCTATACGGAGTAAAGTATTACACTGTTATCTCACCCTTTCCTGTTTGGGAACAGCTCACCTGAGCCAACATGCTCCTTTTCGTTCTGCAGACAAGAAGCTGAAAATGACCAATCTGAAGAAAGGTCTGCAGTATGAATTTCGTGTGGCTGCTGTCAATGCTGCTGGCGTAGGAGATGCCAGTGAACCCTCACAGCCTGTCTTTGCACGGGATTCCATGAGTAAGTGCACTGCCTCTTATCCCTTTGGTTACTGCCTGTCATCCTTCTGGCTTGGGGATACATAAAGCTGGCGATGTAGGCTGTCGATGTTAGTGGAGAGGTGATGTTTTTAAATGCTTTGTATAAGTGTGTGATGATGACAAAGATCAAATAACTGGGGAATGTTTCATGGCTGAGAATCTGCTATCAGCATGAGGAAGGAATGGAAGGATTTTCTGTGATGTCTAAGTCAAGAAGTGGCAGACTCCCTGTGTGGGAGCCTGTGCAGGGTGGAGAAGTATTCAGGATGGGTTGCAGACAGTCTCAGCACTGTTGCAGATTGTACTGCATGGCTGGCAGGAGCAGACACCTGGATCCAACTTTGAAGAACTGGGACAAGGCAGAGGCAAGACAGCAGGGTGGATATCCAGTGCACTTCAAGAATACTGGGGAATCTCAAGCAGTGACTGAAAAGAAGGGACAGAAATCCTAGAAACATAGTTTAAATAAGATCTCTCTTTTCAGAATCTCCAGGTCAAGTGCAGGACCTTAAAGTGAGCAGCAGTGACAGCACTAGTGTCACCTTGACATGGAAGAGACCTGAAGCAAAAGATGGGGGTGATGTGAAAGGCTACCAGGTGGAGATGCGGTCTTCTAACAACTTCAGCTGGACCAAATGCAATACTCTTCCCATAGAGACAACAACCTACACCGTTAAAGGCCTCCAAGCCAAGGAGATGTACTTCCTACGTGTGAGAGCCTTCAATGACAGTGGCCCCGGAGAAGCCACAGAGCTTGAAGCCTGCATCGATGCTGCTGCCCCTGTAGGTAAGTCAAAGTGGGCTGCTTTCAGAATGGACAAAGTCATTCCATAGGTAACAGGATGCAGGCAAGTTCTGTAGGTCACTGACAAGCTTCTTTCAAATCCCAGACTGTAGCAGAAGGATGAGCAGTACACTGCTCCTCTAGGGTATGGTCTTATTTGGTCACTTCATCAGGAAATTCTGAAGATTTAACCAATAATAAATATGCAATGCACAGCATTCAGCTCATGTCAAAGACTCATTATAATAAAAGAATGCCCGAAACTGTTGTTTTCTCCTCGGATTTACTTTTTCCCCCTGTGCAGAGCTGTACCACAGTCATGATCACCAGATAGAAATCACACATACCTTATTCCTACCTGTGCTCTTTTAAGGGAAAGATAGTTTTCAATCTATTTTTATACAGTCTTGTGGAATCAAACGTTTGATTTTCTTCTCTTAAATCACAATTGTTTTGTTGTTCTTTATAAACTTGATTTTCCTTTCTAATTTTCTAGTTTGCAAGTTTTCACCATTGTCACTTTTTCATCTTTATTTACAATCTGCATCTCTGGGTTTTTTTCGTGCTGTTTGGGAACATTGCAGAAATACAGAAGTGCGAGATAACTCTTTGAGGGATTCATCTTCCCTGACTTGGGTCCTAAGTGATAATGTCTACTTCTGGCCTATGCCTGGAGATTCCTTTGGTAACCAGTCAGTAAACAGATAACTAGAAGTCCATCTAATGTCTACTTCTGGCCTATGCCTGGAGACTCCTTTGATAACCAGTCAGTAAATAGATAACTAGAAGTCCATATGGGAAGCAGTTTTGTCAGTTTTAAACTGGAAACACTGAATATGGTTTAGCGCTATTGTATTTGGCATTTTTTAAAAAATGCTGAATACATAGTGTATTATACTGATGAAATGAGAAAAGAAAGGAAAAATATTTTAAATACTAAAAAAGATTGTATTTAATAAACTCAGGCCAGTTTCCTAAGGGTGTTCTGTACTCTATATTGCACATGTATTTCAAAAGTGTCCATTGCAATTTCCTTTTCCCCAGCTGTCATTTTACCTGAAAGATCATCAATGTGGTGGAGTAAAGTGTGTCAAAGAGCCAGCTTCTCTGTGATTGAGACTTCACATGTACAAACATCGTTGTGAATGTATTTTTACATCGTTTTCCCTTGTTCAGTCATAGTGATAAATAAATAGTAATAAAATTTGAAAGGTGTAAACTCTGGTTCTGAATCAAAGAACTTTTTTTCCACAGAACCCCTATGAGTTTCTCCACAGCCTGCAGACTAGCTGTTGGAAAGGCGTTAGGGGTACTGAGCGCATGCGTATGAGTTTGTCAGCTAGTGACTCTGTCATGGTGTACAGCTTTTTATTGTAATCACTGTCTTTTCCAGTTTCTCCCAGGTTACTAATAGATGACACAGTGAAAAGCTTCCTGGTTATAAAAGCAGGAAACGCCATCCGAGTAAATATTCCGTTTGAAGTAAGTATTCAAATGTGTTTGTAAAAATTCCCCATCTGTTTTTCTGTTGTAGTCAATAGCAGACATGAAGACTGAGCTACTGTTTTCTTGGCATGCAATATTGTTTACAAGACACTGGGCAAATCTGCTAACCTGCCTGTGCTGTGTGTACTTTCTGCATGAGGAAAACATGAACAAGAATTCAGCTGTCACTCTTGGCATTAGTGTTTTATGAGATTATGGTCATTCATTAATCTCTGTAAACAAGGCAGGATGCTGTCCATCCAACCACATCAATAGTATCATCATCTGGTACTAATCTGTCAGAGTTTAAAAATCGGTCGATTTCCCTCTGAGTTGCTCAGAGGTCCTTGGCGTAGCATTTCTAGTAACATCCTCTTGACTGTGTTTGTCTTACTAAGCAGCAGGACTTAAGCTGTGTGACTTGAGAAATAGGCATGCACTGACAGAAATCCTGTGTGCTTTGACATAAGCTTGGAACAACATAGGTGAAGTCTGGGGTATCACGAAGAGGTTGATGAAGGCAAAGTGTGTGTGTTTGCTGACCTTTCTCTTAATCTCCTGGAGAACAGAGACCAAGGATGGCACAATGGGAATAACGAATTTGAGGATGTTTTCTATCCAAAACTAGCAGATCTTTTTAAAAGTAGAAAATATTAACTACAAATATTGTCTGTCGTTCTTGATCTAGCACACCTTGTTTGATATAGTTAGTCTGGATACCTTACTACAAGAACATTCGTAAAAGACACAGAGAAAAAGAAAAGTTACAAAGAACCTTTAAAGCAGCCCTTTATCCAGGGCTCTTTGATCCATCTTAGATCCATATTTCTAACTATTACTTTATTGTGTCATGTAGGTATACATTTGGGACAAGATGAAGAAACTGTAGATGTAAAGACACAATCTGGAGGCAAAACAAGCGGGTTATAACTCCTTTCTTTACAGGCATCTCCAGACCCAGTGGTGACCTGGTTAAAGGATGGGCTTCCTCTTCCAAACCGGGCTACAATAAACACCAAAGGTGGTACCACCCAGCTGCTGATCAGAGCAGCTGAGTTCACCGACAGCGGCACCTACACTGTGGAGCTCCAGAACAGCTTAGGGAAAAGAGAAACATTCAGCTTCCAAGTTCAAGTTACAGGTAACTCATTCATTACACACACACACAGCTTTATTGTGAATAGGCAGTAGGCAACGAGTAGAGTTCCACGTGGTGAGCCCTGATGCGGTTAAGCCATGCAGGCACAAGGAGAACTAGAGTACAGTTTTCTATGAGATTCAGTCTGGCCACTTTGTAGTATCACTTGGCCATGTCTGCAGGACAAAACTGTCTACTGATTAAAATTACACCCAGCTTCCAGAGTGCTTAAAAAGGGAAGGTCATACAGATGGATAGTGCAAACTACAGGAGAGCAGTTCATGCTCTTTCTGACAGTCTAAGGTTAGTGAGCAGTAGGCAGTAGGACATTTAGTCTTAGCTGTAACAACTCTATATGCTGTCTTCCTAGGAGGTGAAGAAGTTTAGCTGTACCAGCCCTCATCTCCTCCCTATAAGAAGGGAAGGAGGCCCAACAGCAGATGTAATGGAGCAGCAGTTAATAGCAAATGAGCTTCTGCAACTGGAGAAGGAATAATATTTTTCTCTCTTCTGCTGTCCAGGATGTTCACAGAATGGCAGGGGTTGAAAGGGACCTCTGTGGATCATCTAGTCCAACCCCCCTGCCAAAACAGGGTCACTTAGAGCAGGCTGCACAGGACCGGGTCCAGATGGGTTTTGCATCTCTCCAGAGAAGGAGGCTCCAGAAGCCCTCTGGGCAGCTTGTTCCAGGGCTGTGTCACCCTCAGAGGAAAGAAGTTCTTCCTCCTCTTCAGCTGGAACTTCCTGTGCTTCAGTTTGTGCCCGTTGCCCCTTGTCCTGTCGCTGGGCACCACTGGAAAGAGTCTGGCCCCGTCCTCCTGACACCCACCCTGCAGATATTTAGAGGCATTTCTAAGGTCCCCTCTCAGCCTTCTCTTCTCCAGGCTGAACAAGCCCAGCTCCCTCAGCCTTTCCTCGTAGGAAAGATGTTCCAGTGTCATCATCTTCGTAGCCCTCCTCTGGCCTCTCCCAGAAGTTCCTCAGCCCCCAGACATAGAATGGACTCAAAATTTTTAGGGTTCTGTACTGTGCCATTTTACCTACATTTTTTATATTATTTGCCTTCATCTGACAGATATCCCACAATCGCCTGGACCTGTTCACTTGGAAGAGAATGTGCCAAACACAGTGACAGTAACCTGGGAGCCATCAGCATCTGAGAAATGGGAAAGTAATCTCTACTACACAGTCCTGAAACGTGAATCACAGAAGGGCTTGTGGCAGCTGGTGGGTGACCTGATCTACACCAACAAGTTCACATTCACCCAACTGATCCCAGGCCGGGACTACTACTTTCGGGTTGTGGCAAAAAATAACTTGGGAGCCAGTGGTCCATCTGAAACTGTGCAGCCTTGGAGAATTCCAAAACCAAAGGGTAAAGCAGCTTTTACAAATAGTTATCTGTGTGTTGTCATGCTTTGTTTCTTTTGCTGTTTCTAACACACCATCCTGAAATGGGTCTCTCCTCCTGTGAGCGTTTAGTTGCCCAGAACAAGAATACATAGAGATACCCTACGAAATTTCAGTTAGGCAGGGAAGGCCTATCCTTTCTGCACAGACGTTGTGCAGATAGATCCTTTATTTCCAGCCATTATATCATGTAATTCATCACAAAATTAATTCCCAGCAAAAGCTAAGGCTTAAGTTTTGCAGAAACCAAGGTTTCTGACTTCAGAGTTGAATTCTGGCTAATTTGAGAAGAAACACAGGTTACAATCCACAGGGGCATGGGATCTCTGGAAGTCTGCAGTGCAGAATGCTGGACATTCTGCACAACCAAGTGTCGTGGTTGAAAACTAGTCCTTTAAACCCGGACTTCTATTGCTGTGGAGCAGTGTCTGAGTGTGTGTTTGTATGCTGCTGGCTTTTTTTTACAGCTGAATTTCAAGTCAAACCACAGAAATACAGGGGAGTTAACCAAAACATGCCCCCGAGATTCCTCGTCGCGTTGAAGCCTCATGTGGTGACTACTGGGAGCGAGTGCCGTATGAGCTGTGCGGTTGGAGGCCATCCACCTCCAAAGGTCACGTGGTACAAGGACAGCAGAGACCTCTCCAATGATCCTACGTATTTTTGCACAAACAGTTTTGGTGTCTGCTCCCTGGTCGTCCCAGGTGTCACAAAACATGATGAAGGAGAATACATGGCAGAAGCCACCAATGAATTGGGCCGTGCATTTAGCAAAGCCTTCCTCACTATTAAAGGTAACAATCTTTAATGCTTCTCTTCCTTCACTGGGTGACATCAAGATATGTCCTTGCTGTCAAGATGCCTTGCACATGGTAGCCATACAGCTTTCTTTACTGAACTGTCTTCTATAAGGCAGTGTATATTTGGACGGCTTTATTGATTTTTTAATTAACCTACTAGTGATCAAGTATGAAACAGAAATAGAAATGAAAAGGCAGACATGAGAAAAACACTTGATTTCTACATGAGCCAGACTTTTTGGTTGACCTTGAGCAAATCTTTTAGAAAGAAACATCCCATCTTCATTTGACAAGATGGTATCTAGGTTGGATTTTTCTAGCGTGCAGGAGCTGCAGAACAGAAGGACCTGAAAGATGTGCAAGGTTAGGTGAAGCTGTGGGGAAATAGCTGGTGTTAGGTGGCCAGAGGCAACGAGACGGGAGGACAGAGAGGGATGTGATTTAAGTTGGAGTCATTGTGAATCCTGATGTGCATACAGAACCAATGTATTTGACTGAGTTGATATCCTTACGATAAACATCGTTGGCAATTTTATTCCGTTGGTTAAGAAATATCCTTTATTTTGAGTCAAATATCTTCCTTTCAGTGCAATTCATAATACCTCGGTGGGGTAATACGAGTGTAGAAATGGGTCAGTTCAATCCCTGTAATCATTTTACAGACATATAGTTTTTTTTGGCCCTGTAACATTTCGGGTCCCCCTTCCAGTGTACCTGACACTGTCTCCCTCATTACAATATGTTTTTCTCTTATTTTCAGACTCCACCCTGTAGCATGAGCTTGCTGAGAACACGTCTGCACAACCAAGTGAATGAGAAGGTTTTTAATGAGAACTGGCTCCATACGAAGGCTATGCATTTATTTTCAGATGTGCATTATAGTCTGAGTGTTTTATTTTTCAGATCCAGTAGTTGTGTTTTGAACATGATGCTGCACTGTAGTTAAAATGGGGAAAAAAGCTTTAAGAGAATTCTATCTTTTTGTAATGTTCGTGGCTTTCCACTAGACCTTCAGAACAAAGATGAGAAGCTTCAGGAACACAGAAGATGAGAGGAAAAATAATTGGCCAAAATGAAACTTGCTGTGGAGAACACAGGCCCATGTGAGAGATCATTCTGCCACACCACTCACCTGCTGTCAGGCTGCAACAAGAATGTTTCTTGACACCAGAGGTCTATGAAGCTGGCCTTGTAGCGTGTAGTCTTCTAATCTGAAGCAATCATTTTAGATTCCATGTAATTCTCAGCAGGTTTCTAATTCTGGTAGAAGCAGTTCTGCATGTATTCCACTACCGGTAGCAGCTAAGTGTATTATTTCTCTTAACCTCTTCAGTTGTAAAGAGTATCTGCCTGGCAGTTTTATCTGGGCAAGAGATAAATTCTCAGACTAGGCTAACACGGGGTAGTGCTACTCACAGTGAAAATGCATTGACGGGACTGAATGGAAATCTAGAACGAGTTGTATTAGTGTGAGCAAATCAGTGCTGTACTTAAAAAACCTACTAGAGCAAGTGCTTTAAAGAAGGATGTGTCAGTCCTAAACTACCACATCAGTATCGCCTTTGAAACATAACTGCCCCTACCTCATGACGTTGCTAGAATGTTTTTGCCTAATGCAAAAAGAGGTTACAAATCTTTCATGTTTTACCAGAAATACGAGGTACCGCCGGAGATCCTCTGCCATGGCTGGGGGATTCCATCACTGGGTGGAGAAAGACTGGGAAGCAAAACTGTGATGATGACTGTACGAACACCTAGCATTGTAGCCTTACTGCCAAAGGTACTCTGACAGCAGCTAGAAGACAGGAGAGTATAGATCAAGGGGTCAAAGCCACTGGATCCTCAGACAGCCAGTCAAATGCTTATGTGGGGCTGGAGTGTTCTTTTGGATTACATTTTGTACAATGTTGTACAGACATAGCAACAGTAGATTATGAAATTAAACCATACTTCAGTTAAGTCTACTGTGAGTAAGTGTTTATTTTGGAGAAGGAAGCCCAGCCAGTTCCTGAATGCCAGTCCATGTCTGCTGCAGTTTTCACATATAAAGGCTGCAGAAGTTCACCCTTCGCCCTGTATTGCATACGTAGATTCCCATTTAATCTTTGAAGAGCAGGAGAACAACAGATATAAGGTTTTTATAGGCTTATTTCGTGCTAATATCTGAGCATGCTGATGGAGTGGTAGAGTAGTGCAGTCTTTAATCATGCAAATTGGGTTCAAAAAACATAATAACGTGCATGGCAGCATAAGCCAGCCACTTACTGACCCGGATGTGCCCATGGTGAGTGACCTCACACCTCCTTCCTTGAAGCTATCGATACCAGCTACTACTGGCAATATTTATGTTGCATGCTGATCTGAAGCAAGGATCGTTTTATTTAGACCGTGATAACCCTCACCACTGTACTGCGACCCCTGTCTCAGGCCCCTGTAGATCCACCTGATGAAGCCTGTGTACTTTCCACCTGTTCTATGCAAGAGAAATACAGGGCTACTCCCCTCCGAGTGTCGTCTTCCACAGGGGTGCAGCTGCCTGTCCTTCCCTTTCCCACCCATGTGGGCACCCCTGGTTTGTGTTCCCAGACTGTGGGCTGCCAAACCCCCCGAATCTTGTTACAGAAACCATCTCCCAGGAGAGGGGGGCTTCCCAGGACTGCCAGCACGGACCCGTGGGGCTCCAGCCCTGAAATAATAGGTAGGGCAGTGCCGGCGCCTGGCCTGTGCTCTTTGCTATGCCGAGGCCGCTGCTCCCAGATGTGCTGACATCTTGAGCAGTTCTGGAGGCCAGGTCGGTCGAGTCCCTTGATACACTGATACTTGCCCATCCTTTGCAAGAGCGTGGAGTCTGGGCATAGAGAGTGTCCACTGAGCCATCTGCCAGCGCTCGGTGGGTGAAATGGGTGGCTGCTGAGATAGAAGCATGGAAAAGTGGTCAGGAAGGCAAGTGCTTGTTGATACTGCTGGAGGACATGCTCAGCTGGGAGATGCATTGCTGCACCTCGAGGAGGGTCCATAGGGTCAAAGAGAAAAATGTTATCCCTGCTGCTCCCTCCCCTTGGAGGAGGAACGTCTCTGGTTTTGCTTCTCCACTGACAATGACCAAGATGACCTTCCCTGTAATCGGCATTTTTATGGATCCCAGCATGAATTAGGTTCATACCTGGAGATGAACTTGCTGCTCTTTGTACTTTGAATATGCGAAGAGGAGAGAGATGCTTTCTTGCAAGGCTGAGTGACAAACACGAAGTTTTCACTAGCTTTGGGTTGACTTATGCTGGTGAGGTACCGCAGGAGTGTGTGGTAGTTTGTGTAGCAGATGTGCAGCAGTGGGGTTACTCTGGCTACGTTCTTCTTGACGGATAAGCGTAAGGGCCAAGCTTGCTGGAAGGACCTGAACAGTTGAGTTTGAAGCCTGAGTGGTCTCTGGAAGGACCTGGCACACCAGGAGCAGGGGGCTTTTGCAAGACTTGCGGAGAGTTGCACTGAGATGTTGGTGCAACTGAGAGTGCACAGATGTCAGCACCCATTCAAGCCAGTCCCCTGTTGTTTTTCTCTGGAATATTTTATATTCCAGCCCCATGTGCTTAAAGCACTGGTACTTAACACCTGGGGAGCAAGGCTGAGCCAGACATGCCATGCAGGGCTGCAAGACAGAGAGCCTAACTGGTAGGGTCAGTAATTTGACAAGGAAGTCGTGGTGTGCACAGGCGAGACCAGTGCAGGAGAAATGGCCAGTCAGCATGAGAGGGGGGTGAGCGAGTGTTTTGGAGTCAGCAGCGCTGCTTGCTTATCCTGTGCACTTTGATTATAGCAAAGTGGTGCTTGCCCTCCCAGGAATCACCCTCCAAAGTGGAAGAGTGGACGTTACTGTGGGGGAGGCCAAAGGGAGAGAGCGTAGCCTGGAGGGAGCTGCAGCAGGAGCTGCCGGGCAAACTCTTCTGGTCTGGAAGTGGCTGGCCTCCCCAGTAACAAGCAGGAAAGCAGGCTACAAAAAAAGCCTTCGGATCTCCAGAGATGTGCTGAGCTCTATTTCCTGCATTTCTTGCAGTGGAAATCTTCCCATCCAGGTGGTCCCAAACCAGCTCTCTGGATGCTGGCACTGGGAGCAATCACCCAGTTACTGGCACAGCCAAGAAGGAGGAATCGTGCTGCTCAGGCAGTGCCAATAAATCCCTCCTGCATCCCCAGTCCTGAGCATTTGCCCCTGTGCCATGCTCCCTCTGGGATGGCCAACTGCTCCCAGCACCCAGGGGTGGCTGAACTCATAATCCAGCTTGGTGGCATTTAGAGAAATCATTGCCTATGAGCTGCTCTGCATCCCTGTTTCGTGGTTTGCTATCACTCTTTGCAGCCACTATTTGACTTTGGAAGACAGTAACTGGGGAACTGGCATAAGTCTGATGGCTCTTCCTTCCAAGAACAGCTTGTAACCATCAAAGGGTGTCGTACGGGTACCCGAGCCCGTGGCTTCATGTCACCAAGGGTGCAGTGGTGCTGCTGGTGCGTGGCACTGCTGCAGCCTCCCTCTGCAGCGCTCGCTTGCCTTGCCGTCCCTCGGAGCCTCTCCCCAAATTCACATCCGATGAGGGAGCGGCAATACCAGATTAGTGGAGTTTGTTTCTAAAACCAGGTTATGAGCACTGAGGAGAGCAATGCTCCTGAGCTGGGAGGGACAGACGAGCTCTGCTGCTGGCTCCCACCCCAGGTAGAGGACGCAGGGCGTGTTGGTGAATATGCTAAGCCATGCCTCTGCCAGCGCCTGGATTTTTTCCCCTCTCTTCACAGGTAGGGCTGGGCCCCGGCTAATTTGGACGTGTGTATCACTGCTGAGGGTGAGCGGCTGTGCCGGCTTGGGATGAGCACCCTGGAGAGCAGGTTTCAACAGCGTAAGAGCAAAATCCCCTCTTAGCCCCTGAGTATGCGATGACGGTTCCTGTTAGGGCAGAAAGCAGGTCCTCACACGGGAGCCTTCCTTGGCGGTGGGTGTGCTTGGTGTATTTGGCTCATTTGCAGCCAAAAACATTCTCTCATTAGGACTCCAGCTGCTGTGGTGTTTGGTGACTTGAAGAACGGATTCAGGTCTGCTCATAAATCAGCAGTGCTTGTCCATGCTGTTTTCTGAGAGCTAATGGCAGCCCTAGATAACTCTCTGGACCTTCTGTCCTTCCTTGCTGATTTTCCCTTCTTTGGCCTTGCTTAGCAAAAGCGTTTCTCCATCCATCGTGGTCAGTGACCAAAGCTCTAAGGGGCAGAAGGCTGCTGCATCTTCCTCTGGAGATTCCCAGTCTGCTGTGTGCTGTGGATGTCCCCATCCGTATGTGTGCCCTGTACAGCTGTGTGTCCCAGCTCCCTCCTCTCCAGGGCAGCACTGGTCACAGCTACCGGCCTCAGCTTTTGGTTCCCTCTAGCAGGAGATGCTGCTGCAGTCCTGCCTCTGCGTGCACCCAAGAGGTTAAAGGCTGTTTGGATGGTGGTCTGGTTTGGCTGGTAGGCAGGGGGTGGAGTGGGAGCTTACACTGGTGTCCTTGGGAAGCCTTTCAACATGAAGAGCATCGCTGCACCCAGCAGTGCAGCATCCTTCTGCACAGAGGGGTCTGGCTGTGTTGGTGTGAGCCCGTGAGCAGCCACGGGGTTGAACGCAGGGTCCTTTCCCCTTTGGGAAGGAGAACTTCTTTCTGGCTGCAGGGGTTTACAGCCCATCCTCCTGGCAGGGCAAGATGGTGATGGGTTGACCCGGGGCATCACTTGGAGCACTGGCTGCCAACTTCTGC